TCAGGCTGGGTGGCAGCTTCCTGGTCAATGGTGTGGATAAGACAACGCTCGAGGCTGTGAATAAATTCCACAAGCTGCAGTACCAGGTGCAATCAGGGTCTTATGGTGATGTTTGCAGCTTCGCATTGGTTCATGCATGTTGCTCTGGATCTGTGGTTTTGGGGAACTGCCAATCCAAGGCTAACAAGCAAGACGGAGTGTCCATCACTTGGGTGAAGGGTGACCAAGGGTCACTTCAACGGCAGCTTCTCGGTTGTTTGTAAGTTGATTTGTCAATTATAATGTCTCGATCATGGAGCCAAGGTACATGATTGCCAAAAAGATTGCAGGATGGTTGAAACCTACGTGGACGTGATGCTACCTCGTGTCACACGTGTGACTTGGGATGTGATCTGTGCTGCTCCGACTGCAAAAGAACAGCAACGGTCAATTCCGTGAGTTACAATGATTGTGCATATTCACCATGGGCATTGCGATCATGCGAAGTCTCCATTGAAACTGCTGCCGGCTACCAGAGGCGAGCTACGTACTTTCTACAGACAGGGGGTCTATGTGTGTACATGAACAAACATGTAATAATTCCGAAACGGGTGTGACGAGTCCTGAATCCTGCCATCGACCTGAGGTGTGTGTGTGTGTGTGTGTCTATGTCTGCATGTTAGATTAGATTGCACAGTACGTCTGCAGCCATGGATCCCATGAAGAAGTCACCGCTGTCTCTCTCGGCATCAGCAATCGCCACCTTGACGCTGATGGGTTGTCACAGTGTGCTGCCAGCCACTCAACTTCCAGCTTGCTGTAGCCTGGTAAGATCTCAGACATGTAGGATATAAAGACTGCAGGATTCATTGCTGCGATTACATTGTGCAGAACAGCCCACCCGACATGTCATTCAGAGCTGGGCACTCAACTACTCATGAGAGTCGCACCGCCTATCATTTGCAAACTAATAGACCGTATTGCTCCTCAGGATTTGGTTCACTACGACATGTTCAGTGGAGTGAGAAATATGCAGCGGCAGTACTGCAGGGGGCCTGGTGGAGTGTCCATGTAACGTACTGTGTTGTCATGTAGTAGGTTCATGTATATGGTGTGTGTATGCCTGGTCGTGCTGCAGGCCTGTCAGGGCTTCGCTCGTGTCTCATTAGCAACATGGATAGCATCCACCTGTGCAGTTGCACAGACTTGCATGCAACTCAGGGACTATATGGATTCGTCGTCCCGGCCAAGCGATGATATCTGCACCACGCTGCTCACCTTGGATTACGAAGCTTTTACTGTTCTCGCAGCTCTGACCCAAAGCTCACATTCTTATATTAACTATACCTAGACCCCAACCCCGAGAACTCATTCTAGTGGAAGTGGCTCGTACTCAGATCAACAAGAGTCGGAACAACTCCCCTAAGCCCCGAATTCAGCCCCAACCAAACCCTAGAACCCCAAACCTCCAAAGCGCAGATCTAGAAGCCTATGTTCAGAAAAAGCCATGAAGCCCGAATAATACCAATTCCTCTACTATGATCATGATCATTTGACCTAACTGAGGTTAGGATTCATCTCTGCGATTCGCTCGGCCTTGAAATTGAAAGCCCAAGTCGGCATGGCCACCATTGGTGTTCCATGCAACAGCTATGTCTTCATGAATGCAGCAACTTCTGGTCGCAGCAGAGACGAGCCATTAGGAAATGAAGAGCTGGAGTATGTTCGCACTTCGAACAAGTTGCTTGGAACAATACCCTATACGTTGATATGGGGTAGCTGCCCGTTACCCACTCTCTCTCTCTCTCTCTCTCTCTCTCTCTCTCTCTCTCTCTCTCTCTCTCTCTCTCTCTCTCTCTCTCTCTCTCTCTCTCTCTGCTTCTCTCTATGTGTATGTATCTCTCTGTCACTCCCTCCCTCCCTTCCATAGCTATGTTTCAGACCATGCTGCCACCAATAAGGATCTGTGCCAGGGTATGCCTCATCCTGCTCTTGATGACGGTCCGCCAAACCTTCTTTATGCTGGAACAGCCGGCATCGTCACTCTTGGAGTGGTCACCATATATGAGGCACGTCTTCGAGACTTTGAAACGGTTCATGCCAATCCATCGTACATTCTTGCCGTTGCCCCAGGATGCATGCAATACACATGTGCAGTGCTTGTGCCTCTCCTTTGTTTCCCTCTCCCTCTCCGTCTCCCTCTCCCTCTCCCTCTCCCTCTCTCTTCTCGTGGCTCCGTTTTGGGAACGCCTGTTGTTGTTGTGGTCTCTCTTCTCGTGGCTCCGTTTTGGGAACGCCTGTTGTTGTTGTTGTTGTTGTGGTCTCTCTTCTCGTGGCTCCGTTTTGGGTCTCTCTCTCTCTCTCTCTCTCTCTCTCTCTCTCTCTCTCTGTCTCTCTCTCTCTCTCTCTCTCTCTCTCTGTGCCTCCTGTCCATCTAAGCTGGCTTGGTTCCTGGGGCCACTTCAGCCCCAAGGGCTCCCTGGCCTTTGGGACACTGTCTCCCTGCTGAAATTATGTAACATTCGACTGGGCTGGGGCCTTGTCAGCTGCAGGTGAGAGTTGTTACTGAGGGGTGGGGTTTCCAAGCTCTTCAAGAAGCTGACGCACAAACGGCGGCTTCGGCTGGGCTTGACCTCGAATGGTGTGTCTTATAGACGAAAGAACAAGTATGGGAAGACGGTGGTGCAGGGGGCTGAGCTCATCATCGTAGCTTATATAATGAGTCCTTTCTGATAAAACCTGGATCCCTGCTGGCTCTCCCAAGGACCGGTGGGCCCAAGCTAAAGCGAACTGCTGAGTACCCGCAGAAGTTTTGCAACAAGGTCCTGAAGCTACACATGCAGTTCGTTGAATCTGGGCAGCATGAGTTGCTATATGTTGTTGCAGTGCCACAACATGAACTTAATCAAAGGAGAAATCTGGACACAAGATCGTGCAGTGGCTGCAAGATGGTCGGGATCTCCTTGCTGCCGGCCCAAAGGCAGGATCTATTGGCGCAGTGGGGTGGTACAACTTAAACCAATTGTGTTTCAAGTGCTTGCCGCCAGGTCCCGAAGCCACTGGATTGGGTGCACGCCGAACTCGGAGAGGTTCTTCAATTCCTGCGGCAGGAGGAGCAAGCAGGGCGTTTCAAGCCGCTGTCTCGCCTGTGAGTACTAGCTTATAGGTGTTCTGCACACTTAAAGTGTGGCTGTGACATTTAATTCCATGAGGGCTCCTTTAATTCAGCGAAGTTCACAGATGATCTTTGGGCCTCAGGCCTAATTAGTTGTTGTTCTGGAGCAGAATATGCTGCTCTGAGCAGAAGAATCCAAGCGCAATTGGACACGCACCACAGCGTGAGTAAAGCGTGAGTGGAGCGTGAGTGGGCGTGAGTGCTTATATAGCCACAGTCATAGGCTGTGTGCAACCACCCCGGAAAACCGTGAGCAAAGCGTGACTTTAGCGTGAGTTGTCGTGAGTGTCTTTTATGACCATTGATTGGCTCCTTGATCTAGGACCTTTGGGAAGGAATCCTTACCATGCTCTGCAGTTGCACTTATGCTGATTTGTGGATCATCTGCAATATAATGTACAGTGTACTTAGCTAAGTCTAGGAAAGCCCGGCCCCTCCATCATGGCCTCGGCAGTGAGTGAAGCTCTTGCACGTGCAAAAGCCCTGAGGGCAAAGGCCTTGAACCAGGGCCCACCGATCGAGGAACCGGAGGTGCCGCAGACTGCCAAGCCCTCAACGCAGCCTTTGAAGCGAGAGCTGCCCACACCGGGCCGACGACCCGTCAAGCGAGAGAAGAAGCCAAGCCCAAAGCCGACGTCGAACCAGGCCAGCACAAGGGGAGTGTTCATGTATGTTCGTGCTCGATCTAGATCTAACTATAACTACTATCTATACTAGCATGATGTGCCCTGTCCTGGCAGGCCGTGGGGTCCGGCTCCAGGAGTTGCAGACATCAGCCAGGCAGGCTGCACCTGGGATTCTCCAAAGTTCCACTATATATCTTCCCTAGACCCCAAACCTTATCCCTAAGTCGCCAAATTAGGTATACTTATTCTCATCAGGGTTGAAAAGGGGTGGCTGTTTTTTGGGGGGGAGGGTGGAAACAAACATCTGACCTACCGGAGGCTTTCCACACAAGGCCTTATATTGGGTGGGGGTTTACGGGGTTTAGGGTCTAGGGCCCAGGGTCTAGGGTTGGGGTTAGGGTGTCGGGTATTTTTGCAGTTCGCTTGCAGTGAAGTTTCACCAGGCTGGGATCGATGAAAGGATGAGTGAAGCTCCAGAGGCATCCCATCCTGAGGCCGAGCATTGCATGTCACTTGAGTGTTTTTTGCAAGCCTGGTGCTCCCGAGTAATCTGGATACTCTTCATGCACGCAGGATATACTTAAACTTGGGTCCCAACAGGATGATGACAAAGATGCAAAGACTGATGCTCCACAGGAAGACAATGATCAGGCCCGGCCCATGTGGTCTCATGTATGTGTATAGAACTGAACCTCTAGGTAAAACCAATGCAAAGCCATGTCTGTGGCCTCAGGATCAAGTGCACATGGAAGATGATCAGCGGGGGCTCAATGCTCAAGAGCCTGAGGCCTGGTGTGGGACCACACATACATATATATGTGCATAACATAACATAATTTAACTAGTATAGATATTATATCGGTTATGACATGACAATATATATATATATATATATATGTAGCATACAGCCAATGATCGGACATGCAACATGAAGTGCTTTTGCATGTACATATGCATACATACATATACATAGCATGTGTTCCTATACATATATATGTATACTACATACATACATACATACATACATACATACATACATACATACATACATACATACATACATACATACATACATACATACATACATATATACATGAATATGCATAACATATACATGCACATTATACATGTAGAGGGTTTTTATAAACACATACCCCGATTAATAACTGCATGCTTCGTAGCCTGAGTCTATACGACACATCCAAAATGTTGTTCCATCCATGCGAGAGCTCTTGCTGCCGGAGGCTGCTGAAGATGGCTATCGTGAGCAAGGCTTCTCCGAGGCTGACACGTTGGAGTATCGGCAGCTTGCGAAGTTTCCTTCGACACAAGTGGAGGAATGGGACTGGAAGGGGAATGATTCATGGGGCTCAGGCTACGGTGTAGCTTGGTCGGCTTGGAATGATGATCAGTGGGGCTGGGGTTCTTGGGGCTGGAGCTCTACCCCTGGGTGGTGGAGCAAGCACCAGGATGATGACAGGTGCAAAGAAGCTGAAAGCCCAGGCCCACAAAGCACCCAGCAGACCCCGCAGAAGCAAACTGAGTCGCAGCCCCGCTCCGGCAGCACAACAAGAAGCCCAAAAAGCATTGAGAATGCACATGCATTGAAGCGAGCCACCACGATGTCTTCGCAGCCTGCAACCCCAGCAACCTCTCCTTTGAAGGCCTCGCCCTCTGTTCCAGCTACCCAGCCGTCCCCAACCACCTCCCCTGCAACAACAGGCCAGAACAAGCGCAAGCATGGTGACACAAGCCTCAAGAAGCCTGAGAAGGATGTGAGCACAGGTTCGCCGCAGGAGCAGTGGGCATCAATTCAGGATATCTTGCAACGAGGCCACACAGTGGACCGCCTCAGCGATGATGAACTCGCTGAGGTAGTTTTTCAGATCGACCGATTGAAGAAAAGCCGTTCGATGCCCGTACAGGAAACTGAAGCACCGACCCAGCAGGGACAGGAGGCACAAAAGGAAAAGGATGAGTCGCAGGCAACCGAAGCAGACAAGAAAAAGAAGGAGTCGCAGGCAACCGAAGCAGACAAGGAAAAGATGGAGTCACAGGCAACCGAAGCACAGAAAGAAAAGAAGGAGTCAGAGGCAACCGAAGCAGACAAGGAAAAGAAGGAGTCACAGGCAACCGCAGCACAGAAGGACAAGAAGGAGTCACAGGCAACCGAAGCACAGAAGGACAAGAAGGAGTCACAGGCAACCGAAGCACAGAAGGACAAGAAGGAGTCACAGGCAACCGAAGCACAGAAGGACAAGAAGGAGTCACAGGCAACCGAAGCACAGAAGGACAAGAAGGAGTCACAGGCAACTGTCGAAAAGGCTGGGGCAACCAAAGCAGAGGAGCAGAAGGACGGAGATCCCAAAGACAAGCAAGAATTGACACCGGAGCAGGAGGCAAAGCTTGCACTGAAGAAGAAACTCCATGCACGCTACATGAGATTCAGTCGATCTCTCACCAGCTCCTCGGCAAGCCAGTTGTGTATGGGTATATACATATGTGTGTGTATATATATATAGAATCCTACAAGTGGCTGCCGAGGCCACTGGACTTCGCTGCTGTGAAGTGAAACCTACTTGTACGAGAATTGTATGCAGACCTTCCTATATGTTTCAGTCTAGAGGAGAGAGAGATAGAGATAGAGAGAGAGAGAGAGAGAGAGAGAGAGAGAGAGAGAGAGAGAGAGAGAGAGAGAGAGAGAGAGAGAGAGAGAGAGAGAGAGAGAGAGAGAGAGAGAGAGAGAGATGGAGAGAGAGAGAAAAAGAGAGAAGGGGAGAGTCGAAGCACTCGAGAAGTAGCTCAGGTGGCCGGACACCGAAGGAAGTGAGGAAGCTGGCTGACAGAGACCTGGATTCTGATCAGAGAAACTTCTTGTTCGAGCATTGGCTTCAGGCCAACGAGAACTGGAACGCATCCAAGCTTTTGGTTACCTTGAAGAACAAGTCCGGGAAAAAGAAGGTTGGACTCCGAAAGTGGCTGACAAAGGCCGACCTTCTGCAGAAGTACAAGGACGAGGAGGTGGTACAGGCCATCATAGATGCAAAGGTGAATGACAAGGAGCTGTGCAAGACACAGGTGAGGAACCATCCTGATTGCCCTCATCGCGAAGATCTCAAGCAATACCTATGTGTTGTAGATGATAGCGAGGAAAACTACGAAGGGGAAGAAGTGGAACACACGTTCGAGATGGACAACGATCTCGACGAGTCGAGCTCCGACCAAAGCAGTGACGAGGATGGTCAGGAGGAGGATGAGGAAGAGCAGGAGAGCAAGAAGCCAAAGAAGAAAGGAAAGCCCAAGCAGCCGAAGAGTGCGAAGAAGAACAAGAAGAGCAAGAAAAGCAAGAGCTCCCCCAACAAGAAAAACCGTGCCAAAGCCAAGGGCAAAGCAAAGCCAAAAGGGAAAGCCAAGGCTACTGAATCATCACTTGTTTGTGTTTGGTTTCCACCCTACACTCTACACCCTACTTAAACCCCCCAATGCCCTGAACAATTATATAATGCCAGGCCAAACAGCCAACCGGCGGAGACGATGGAGAAGACAAGCCACTGAATGCAAAGGAGATGAAAGGCAAGGCCAGGAAGGTGGGAGCCCATATCCCTCATAAGTCTTCCCCCTGAGTTTCCAGAACCCTAAACCCTTACAGTCATGAGCCCCGAACCCTTAAATTGCAATGCTCTGTGCTAGGCAGTGGACAAAGCCACGGACAAGCTCCAAGCAGTACGAAAGTGCCAGGACGTGGAATCGTCAGAGAATGTGTGCTTGACTCAGATATCTTGCAAAACCATACATGTCATCAAACCGTTGCTCTTTGTTTGGTCCAGGGGTGACAAACTCCTGAAAGCCATGAAGGACGATGTCGAAGCCCAGGTGCAAGCTATATACACATTCTTAAAGTTTCCCAAACCCCACGACCTTATGACACATATCTGATCGATCCGAAGGCCTCGCTCATCCGGACGGAGAGAGCAGATCTGCAGCGATTGATGGATGAGTCCGAGGCCAATAATTTCCTTAGGTGGGTGTTGAGATCGGTTTGGGGTTTATAGGATTTCAGAATTGGAGGATCCGTGATCGTTTTAGAATAAGGTTACAATTATACGGGCTCTTTTCGTGCAAGTGTTTTTCATCTGCTTGGCTGTATAATAAAGTACCCAATATATAAACTTTGTAGCCCAACCATGTCTAAACCCCTATATATTGTTGCTCAATTATCTACAATATCATATAACACCGATTGGTCGAGTGACCAGGCTTTTTTGGGAGTACTTCGAGTGATTTGAATACGTTGAAGACATTACTCTGTATCCCCTCCGGGAATTTCGTAATAGAGAGTGATTAGTCTAAGATGGCATCTGGTCTGTAGTGCAATCATCGGGCTCCCCACTGAGATTGTGGCTAGCCTCTAATTGTTGGTTCTCAATCTCACCTGCAGCCCTGCAGAGGTGGCATCCATGCCGAGCGCCGTGGACAAGCTGACCACAACGTGTGACAAGTTTGATAAGATCACCAAGGAGTTCTGGAACAAAGTGAATGGCAAGTCGACTAAGAAGTGATGTGAAATGTGAACCGTAGCTGTGCATGTAGCTTTGTAATACTTGTGATTCTAGACTAGATGCTATGATGTTTACTTGCCAGCTTTCTTCATTTCAAGGCTGTGCCAGGGTGAACCTTGGCCACTGTGATTGTTGTGCCTGCCACTTTGTACATAGCAGAAAACTCTTGATGTTGCAGTCTGCGGGATGTGATGCTAGTTGAACATGCAACTACTGGACTCAAAACCCATAAACCCTGAACCCTTAAACCCTATATATATATATATATATATATGTGTACGTAGTTAGTTCATCACTCTTTGTCACCCTATAATAATACTAAATCAGGAGTACCAGGTGCATGGTGGCAGCCACAGGGGCCCGGATGTAGCAGCACCGGCAGCTGCTCAATGTGAGCTGTGTACATGGAGCACCTCAGATCTTTCAATGCTGATACAATCCCTCTAGAGCTTGCTGCTGCAACGAGCTGTGATGCTGAGGTGCCATGGGAGGTATGCAGTGCATTCTAGATCTAGTATGCTGCCATAGGCTGAGTCTGGGATCCAGTTTTGGTGGAGTTTTACGAGAAGCTTCGCCCGTGAAAAAAATCTTTGCAACTGGAAGCCCTGGACCACAATATTGACAATACCCAGCAGAGCCCCTCAACAAAAGGCCACCCACATCCTTCGACCCTGAAACGCAACATTTATTTCCTGAACACTGAAACCAAGCACTGGGAGGGATTTGCGAAGCACATGCCAGGTGAAGATGTCGATAAGGATACCGATGGCTTGCTGCAGCATATGTACAACAAGATATCCAGTGGAGAGCCTTGGCTTCCAAATGTGCAGTCAAGGCACAATGTATTTCGGAGGCATGCTGCCTGCAATATGTCCTCAGCCCAGGCTTCCAGTATTGATGCAGCTATGAAAGATGCCCAAGCTGGTTTCCAGGACATCGATTCGGGTGCAATGTTGCATTGTTGTTGGCTCGATCAATATCTAATATACCTTGCCATGCCTGTTCTGATCAAGGACACCCAGAAGTTCTTCAAGGGCAAGACTATTAAATCGTTGATGCGGTTCAAGCCTGGAAATGCTGCACGTGACTTCTTCAAGACTGTGAAGCTTCCTCTGGTGCCCAGCAAGAAATTAAATAGCAGGGGGCATAGAAAACATAAAGAGGTTAAAACTATATATAGCTGCCCACCAACCCATGCGCTTCCCAACAGCTAGCCGTACACCTTCAAGTAATACGGTTGACCTACCCACAAACCACCAACCCCCCTAATCCCCAAAACACCACCCCATAACCCCAAGCCCTGAAGCTGTAAACCTTCAAGCCCCAGACCCTAAACTCCCAGGCCCGACAACCGCAATCCCCTAAGCCCTGTAGTTAGCACCCGCTGTCTAGAGCAGGAGCCTACACCAGTCAAAGTTCCTGTCTGGGAGTATGCGGATGGTGAATGGAAGCAGGCCTCAACTACGGTACCGGTACTAGACATACATGAGATTCTGAGCTACGTTCATTGTGAGCTGGGATTGCAAACCCCGCCGGAGAAGGTCAAAGAATACTGGGCACACCTGTGCAGCCACGGTGTTCCCTTTGCCACTCGTCACCCTTCTACACATGCAAACGAGCCGTGCCGACATTCCCACATACCGTTCTCACTTTATGGAGATGAATGCCAGCTGTCAGCAGATGGTTCGGAGAAGGTGACAGCCATGTTTGTCTCCTTAACTCTTTTCCGACCCAAAGAGGTTAGGCTTGGACACTTTATGGTTTTTTGTATGAAGGACGAGTTCATGGTTCACGAAAACCTTGCGACCCTGAGCCCCATTCTGAAGCACATTGCCTGGAGTTCGAATGTGGCCTTTGATGGCAAGTTTCCACAATGTGGGCCAATGGGCGAAGCTTTGTCATCTTCGAAGATGGCCCGGGCCGGGGATTTCCTGGCGCACGGACGGGCATTCGCTGCTTGTGAACTTCGGGGAGATTGGAAATGGCATGAAAGGACACTTCGGCTGCTTCACACTCCTACAAGCACATGCTGCTGCCTGTTCTGTGGGGCTGAAGCTTCTGATGAGTCCCCGCTTCGATATTACGAGACTGGAGAGTCTGCAGGCTGGGCTTCCACGATTGCTACAACAGCAGACTTTTTGCTTCACAAAGTTCGGCCTGGATGCTTGAGTGACTTGGACTGCATGTCTAAATCCTGCTACCAACCTACTATAAGTATTCTATTCTAATAACTGGACAGTGATCCATGAGGTCCTCTGTCATTTCTCCGTGGGTTCGATATATCCATGGTCAAGTTCTGTAGCATGCATGTGAACAACCTGGGCCTCACCCTTACAGCGAACGGTGGAGCAATGAAGGCATTAATGGATGCTGGTGTATGGGGTGATGCAGCTGTTGTATCAGAGGATGCACAACTGGATAAAGCTTTCCAAGAGTTCAAGGTTTGGAAGAAAACCAAAGGAGTTCCATGCAGCCAAAAGCGGTTCCGGCTTACACGACTGAAGAAGGAATCGCATGGATACTATTTTACAAACAAGGCCTATAACAGCAGAATCCTGCTCCAATGGCTGTCTGAGACGTGCACACTCGAAGCTGCCCGTGCACATCCTAATCAGTCCGAGCTGGCCCTCCATGCGGTTGCACTGCAGCCCAGACAGCAATCATGAGCATCAATTTGCTGCTAGTTCGAAAATAAACAGCTAAATTTAGACCTAGTGCCTTCCGACTCGTTTTATTTACAATGAAAGCCTGCACCCGTTCCCTGAGTCAGGTCCTCCTATGCTGAATGGTACTCGCGAGTCGAAGCAGCCCCACGATACGTGCAGCACGGCAGCACGGCATGGCTATGATTTCTGCAATGATTATAGGTTGCAGCTTAGGACTGAATCTGATGCTGAGAAAATCTACACAGCGGGCAACAAGTTCTTGCAATGCCATCGGGTGCTGACAATCAACAGTCACAGGCGCAATGACCCCAACCTTCCTTGCCCTTTAAAGGGTTGTAATTTTGAGCCCTGCTTCTCTACATTTCGTGCTGTTTGGGATGCCCTGCTCTCCTAGCATCGAAACCTGTTGCAGCTGCATACTAGCTATGGTCAGGAAGGGACTCCTTGCTTGGGTCATGAAACCGAAATTCCCTGTGCCTTGCTTGCATCAAAGTGTGAAGGTTGCATGGTTCGTTGTTTTCTGATCACATGTGCCACCTGAGGCAATGGCACATTTATTGCGAGATACTCGAAACTGGCGACCCTGGGCTTCAATTACGTACACATCGCCTCTGCGACTTTCATGTGAGCCGATATTCAACTGATTTGGTTTGTTCAGGACTGAATGTGCGATACTATCACAATTTTGGTGGTGAAGATTCGATGGGGTGGATTAAACGCCAGGGACCTACGAGCTGCTAATAACTGCTACCCCATTTATTGGCCCTTGGCCCTTGTGAATTCCGTGAGGCACAGCTCTGAAGGCACCTCGTGGTCATGATAATCTTTCACGATGGATGACCAAGATGGCCAATCTTAAACTGCTGGCAAGCAAGAAGAAGCTCACCCCGACACTGGGCACAAAGTGCAGAGCCTGGCTTCCTCTTGCAACAGATACACGTCTAGCTGAGATCTCAGGAAAAAAATTGCTGCTGGCTTCCGAAGGTGATCTCGGTGTCATGATTCTCGGCTGACACTCAAAGTGTGCACACCAGTGCAATGTTCGAGCAAACTATCGAATCTGAGGAATGTGGTCGCTGCTTCTGCTGGGTGCGAAAGCGAGAAGTGTGCGCTTTCACGAAAAAATGAACTGGAGAGGCTTTCGGGAGTTAGTTCTAGAGCGAGAAAGCATAGTGTCAGGCCTGACTTGCTCAAGTTTAAGGGTCAAAACATGAAGGCTTCAAAGCCTTCAAATGCTAGGCTCATCATGGCCTATTTGTGTGGGGACGAGGTGCTATTCAGCAGTGAGTCTAATCCAACTGAGTGGTGAAGTCACTATAGTTTTGGGTTTCGTGGGTGGTCTCTTCATATGCTTTTGGCTCAATTTGTTGGTGGCTGGAGGTACTTTAAAGATAGGTCGTTGCAGATGACCTTTGACGCAACCGCCCGGTTAATCGTGCTGGTTACCAACCGCCTCAGTAAACCCTATATATATATATATATATATATATACATACACACACATGTATGTATTTAGTTTACATAGTTATTTGTTGATTATGTGTGGATATATATATATATATATAATATGTATTCAAGCTTGCCCCTGAGGGTTCAGATATTTGGGCTGTGGGATTTTATAGACTCGCGCCAACCTTTAGGCACCGAGTCTAGCGTGTAGAAAAATGTATGTTGCCGTGTCGTGACCTGATTGGGTTTTGAGAACATATTTCCGATCACGGCTGTATCAGAGGTTCCTGCGACGGGCTTGTATGATCACACCGGCAGTGCCGAGCTCTGCTTCGGCAGAGACTTTCACGCAGCAACAGCAACAACAACAGCCGTTGCCGCTGCAACCGCCACTACTACTCATAATTGGTACGTATGGAGGGCGGGGAGGAGGAGCAGCAGCAACTGCATGCTTGAAAGATGTTCATCCACATCTTGCGAACAGCATCTTGAACATGAGATCATTGTATGTTGGTATTGGATCCCCCGTGCCGAAAAGTCATCTGCCCAAACTGTACTACTACTACTACTACTACTACTACTACTACTACTACTACTACTACTGCTACTACGACTACTACTACGACTACGACTACGACTACGACTACGACTACGACTACGACTACGACTACGACTACGACTACGACTACGACTACGACTACGACTACTACTACTACTACTACTACTACTACTACTACTACTACTACTACTAGGACGACGACGACGACGACGACGACTACTACTACTACTAGTAGTAGTATTAACATTATGATTGTTACGATCATCGTTGGCAACCTTATGGCAACTTAAACTAGGATCCTTGACAAAAGCCGAGCCAGCTCAGCAACCTTAAGGCTGTGTCCCCCGATTGCAACACTGCAAGGCAGTGGAAAGACTCTGGCATTCCTCCTGCCGGCTTTCAAGATCATTGCGAGGTGCATGAGCTTCGGCAGGTTTTGGGTCATGCAGGCTTGCTCGACATAGCCTGCCAGAACACGTCAAGTTTCTCACGAGGTCCGGCATGCATTCATATCCCGGGCAGTTGCATGCCATTGGCAGCACCCTCGAAAGAGTTAACATCATGGTCGACCAACGAACTTTGTTCCATGTCCTGGTATGCAATCATCCCAGAGTCGGATATGGGAGGTCTGGAGACGGTAGACCCTACCACAGGGGCCTAAATAATTACCAATACTAGTTTGGGTGGTTCGTTATCATAAGTAAAGTATAATGGGCCCGAAAAACCCTACTCAAATAATTAAGGCCTCATATTCAGAAAATGGATCCGCAACGCGGCATTATACACCCATGCTGGAAAGAGGCCAACCGGAACCTGAACTCCAAACCGCACCAAACATGTCCCCAGTCTCCAGCCCTCCACAAACTCGCCTGCTTCGATTCACAACAAGACTACATAGAGGAGAGCGATGAGGAGTAATCGCCTATAGCGTATGACCCGGAATCCCCCGAGCTCCAAACACATGACTTAGGGACCCAAAACGCACACAAGCATACGCATTTGTATGGGGATATCCCTACCTTATTGGGTTTCATTATAAGGGGGTTTATATGGGATCCTATGCTTGTTTTTGCTGATGTGCTTTTTTGGGGCCCTAATGACAGTCCTAGACCATGGCTGCAGTCTTCAATGTATCACAGGAGGCCAAAAGGGGTTTTAGCCTTGGGGGTTTAGTAGGGATTAGGGTTCCCATAATGGGGTTCATATTAAGGAATCCCTACCCCAAGAATCTTGAACCCGCCTTTTGGCCTCCTATCAATGTAGTTCTTGTTCGTGTTTCGACCGCATGTTCTGGCGTGTCAATGTCAGGTATGGTCTAGGGTGGTTGATCATGCAACCCCATTGTCGGACTTCAAGGCTTTATGTAAGGATTGAGCACCAGGCCTAAACTTTAAACCCTAAACCCTAAACCCCTTGAATCCCCAGAGGTGGTCAAAGGAGGCTGCTTCGTCCGATCCGCCTGTCCTGCGGCTTGCCTGCATAAGTTCGCAATACGCCGGACCCTGACCAAAGACTTTCAGCTCAGAGTCAAAACCCTAAACTCAAAACCCTACGTGTAGCCGAAAAGACCTACCAGGGTTCCTTATTATGGTTTCTGTATATAGTTCCTCAAAAAGGTAGGTCTTTTCGGCTACAGGAGAAACCAAGCAAGGACTTTAAGCCTTTAAGCTCAAAGTCCAGAACCCGAAGCTCCAAACCCCAACCGGTTGTGATGTGGGGCTGAGAACATACACTTGAGGTTGTTGGGCTTCGGGTCGGCATGCTCAGCCAATGCCACGAGACAGTTCTGAGATTCTACAACCCCTGAAATTCAGAACGTTTCGGCCGTGGGACAGGAACGTCATTTAGCCTCCTCCCCCACCGTCCACCCAACCCGAAACTGCGCAAACGAGGGTGATGGACCATGATAACCCTAAACTCCAAAGGCACACTTGCCTTGAAGACATCCTCCTTCGGCTCGAGCCCTCACGTCGTCGGCAGACGTGATGGTAGGGTTTAGGGTTTAACTAGACTTGAGGGTTTAGAGTTTGGGGTTCATCGTGCTGCGGGAAGTTGTAGTATCAGAAACGTAGTACAGACCCCGCATATATAAATCATCCCATCCCCCTAGCAGGAATTAAAATCGGGATCACAATGTTTAGGTACCCAGACCCCCGGGAGGATCAAAACAGTAGATCCCATAATGGGGGTTCCTATAGAGTACCCTTAGTAGTAGAGGGCCCCAAATTAGTGGATCTACTTTCTAGATCCTCCCGGGGGTTTGGGTAGGTATCTTGGAGACGCGGCTCCTGTTGATCAGCAACCAGGCGTTTAGCAGACGGAATAAATAGTGCAGACGGAATAAATAGTAAGACTGCTGTAATTCTAGGGTTCCTTTTTCAGGCGGCTATATTGAAGCTTCAAGAAATAATGCAGTTGCCTGAGTAATAAATGAGCCCCTGTGTTTCACCGAGGTTGAATCTTTCAGCAACGAGGCTTTGGTTTTTCACCACAAACCAAGGTGCTTGGCGCCGACCAGGGAGCTGGCGACGCAGATCGATGCTGAGTGCAAGCGATTCTCGCCGGTGCCGAGGGGGGTGGGAGGGAGGGGGGGATAACTTGGGGCGGTGGGAGGGGAGGGGGAAGAAGTTGAGGGATTTTGCTCCATGCTGCAGGTTGTGTTTCGTTGTCTAAGTCATATTCATAGAACAGATCCTGACCCTAAAACTAGGTATCCTAAAATAAGAGGGGTAGGGTATGAGCCTCTCATAGGGTACTAATCTGAAGTACATTGGACCCTTCAGGGCCCCCATATGCCAGGATTGCGAGGAATCTGTTCATCCTGTGGATGGACAATATCCTGCATGATCCAAGATCAGGAATATACCATAACCCTGGGGCTCCAAATAGCCCAAACTGGGTATTATTTATAGACTTTAGGCCCCAAAGTAGGTACTATTTGTATACTTGGAGCCCCAGGGTAATTCCCATAGTCCTGAACGTCATGCAGAATTTTGTCCATCAGCAGTCCCACGAACCGCAAGCCCAAGGGCCCGAGCCCCTCCTAGCCGCATGGTGAATTTAGGCCCTACCTTAACCCAGAAGAACCTACCTTTTTGAGGACTTACGTAAGGAAATGATAGTAAGGAACCCTAAAATAGAGGCAGGTTATGCAGGGTTAAGGTAAACCGTAAAGGCCATAGATAGTGTCATTGACTTGAGAAAGAGCCTCCCATTCGAAGATGCTTCATGTCTGGGGAGCATCCGGAGAGGAATTGGCCAAGCTGCCCCAAGAGGATGCGGTAGACCTCCGGGCCTTGAAGCAAGAGCTGCAAAAGACCTGTGGCCTGCCACGGTTTAGGCAGATGCTCCTCCATGGCAGCCGAGTGGTAGATGAGATCCCGAGACAGGATGCACCTTTGGACCTACAGCTGGTACTTCTTCCGTTCCCGCCAGCATCGCAAGAGAAGGTGGATGAGCTCCTCCGTGCTGCAGCAAGCGGTGTGGTGTCGTTGGTGGAGGAGATTTTGACGAGACCACAAGATCCCAACTTGGCGGAGCACATGGAGGCAACCACCCCACTTTACGAATCAAGCTATTGGGGCCATCTTGAGATCGTGCGGCTTCTGCTGGAGGCCATGGCAGAGGCGAACCTGGCGACGGACAGCGGTACTCCGCTACTGGCAGCTTCTCTCCATGGCCACGTGGATAGCATGCGCTTGCTGTTGGAAGCCGGGGCTGACTTGCATCGTGCAAACTCCGAGGGCAAGACACCCCTTTGGGCAGCAGCACGATCTGGTGATGTGGAGTCGGTTCAGCTGCTGCTTTGTCATAGTTGGGCAACATTATACGTGTTTCTGGGTACTCCAAACCCAATAAGGAATAACAATGTACATTTTTAAATCCTATTCCAACCATGAACTAGGCTTCTGGAGGAGGGGGCCCAGAAAGAGCAGGTTGCTCAGAGTTTCAAGGCCTGGCAAGACTGGGAGCGGGAAACAACTGCTCTCGCGGCAGCTGCCGGCAACGGGCACGCGAGCGTGGTGCAGGTGCTGCTTGGTGCCGCCGCCGACGTCGGTGTGCAAAATGCTTTTGGTTTCACGCCGCTGGAGCTGGCCTCCCGAGGAGGCCATGCAGATGTAGTTCGTTTGCTCCTAGAGCATGCCACTGCGACGGGCAGGGTTTCGAGGTGCAACGCTGCCCTTCGCTTGGCTGCCAAGAAGGGTCATGCTGGGGTGGTCGGCCTGCTGATTGAGGCCGGCGCAGACAAGGACGACGTGGATCAGGAGGGCTCCCCTCTTTGTGTGGCATCCTTGGCCGGGAAAGCGGGAGTTGTGAAGCAACTTCTTGAGGTCAGGGCTGACCATAGTCTTTCAAACTCCCTCGGCGCCACTCCTCTCTGGAATGCCGCCTTCCAAGGCTTCGTGGACGTAGTAAGCTTGCTCCTAGCCGCCAGAGCTGACATGGAGCGCGAGGACCACGAAGGTGCGACGCCCGTGTGGATCGCAGCCTTTACCGGCCATTTGCCAGTTCTCCGACTCTTCCGTGAGGTCGGAGGCGATGTAAATCAGGCCTCTGCTGAGCTGGAATTACTATAGGGGCCAGCACTCAGTCGTAGCCTTCCACCCCTCATGTAGTTATACCCCACGGCACTATTCTATTGAGGCCCTTATATAAAGCTCGAGAGATGCTAGGACAGCCTTCGTCGCTCCTGGCCGTTATGTGCTGCATGCCTCCGGAACTGCGTAGAGTCCTCGAGGTGATGCGATTGCCTACTGAGGCTGGATACCAATACTATCAGTACTAGGACTCATGCTTAGGGTTTAGGCTTTAGGGGTTTAGGGTTTAAGGTTTAGGCTATAGCAGCAGTTTCTGTAGCAGTAATGAGAACAAACACCCAGCCCTCGGCGCGGGACGAGCTCAGAAACGTGCTGCTCGGACAGATTGCTGACGACAGATTGCTGACAAAGGTGGCCCTCAACATTGGAGTTTGAGGGGGCGAAGATGCACTTACACCGTAGTAACAGGGGGCTTCAGGGTTGGGTGGTTAGGGCTATGGCTTGTATGAGCGGTTTGTCACTGTCCATTGCTGAAAACCTGTTTCCACTTCGACATTATTGCTCCGTTCTAGAGGTCTCGTGCAGGCCAACCATAAAACATGCAATCTCGAAAGTTATAAAGCTACCTCGTGTATACCCCTAAATGGCACTAAAGGCTTCGACGCTGCACGCATGGGGCTGTGGGGCTAAATGCATGCGGCGAGGTTGTGAACCTGAACCCCCTACGCACCCAATCCTCATCCCAAGTTTTCGAATCCCTAAACCACAAAACCCCGAGCCTTCAGCGCCTAAAGCAATTGCAAACCCTGAACTCCGAACTCCGCACACGAGCCGTGCACCCGGAATCCCAACACTTCTAAATGCCAAGCCCCGGGACAGGCCAAGGTGCGATCGATGGCCGTATTCGGGGGCACCCCCAAGGGCCCACAAGGAAAGGCCTTGAAGACTGCCGTCCCCCAGGCGAGCGTGGTCTGCTGTTTTTGAAAATTTTAAAAGTTCGTCATGCAAAACAAAACTATAGGGCTTAGCACGGGGGCTTAGGGGTTTGGCCTAGGGGTTAGGGTTCAACGAACAGAGGAGGAAACAGAAGGTAGAGTATAGGGGCGCCATTCCTTGAGCCATGAACGTGTATTGAGCCACAGGCCGTTGATGCTTCGAGGGTTTGGTTGTCGGGTTTACATATGAACGATTTACAACAATTGGTTCTGACTGGGGCTTATAGTCTTAGGCCTCACAGAGCCCATGGGTTATAGAGTTTAGGTCTAGCAGAATTTAGCGCTGGAGGTGTTAGGATGCATAAGGATGCAGGGCTTCTGGGCCTGTGACACAGTTTGGCAGGCATATCTGCAGAACTTACAACGGCGAATTTTGACTTGTCTAGAGTACAACTTAGGCTCCTCCAGGCTTGTGCTGTTTCAACTAGGCCTTTCTCATCATAACTCCTGAGTCTCAGAGGAGGACCTAAATCACCCATCCTCTACAGATGTCATTCGCACCGAGAAAGGCATTTTACGACTTGACGCAGACCCCCTTCCCTGACTGCAAACCCTTCTCCCGAAATCCTCAACCCAACAGATCCCATTGACTTTGTCCAATCCCCAAACCCTGATGGATCCCAATATGAACTCCTCGCGAAAGCCCGCATGGGCCGTAAGTAGAAGCAGACCAGAGGGTGTTTTAACTGCAGCAAGAACATCGAAAAGAGCAGTTTCGCCGAGTTGTGGGCCATTTTGCACCGGAGTCCCTATCATCCGCCCTGATTCCAGAGAAGATGACTCACCAGCAGAGCAGAACATTGGAGCGAGATCCTTGAACCCTGAAGACTCGACCCTCTGAACCCCAGAACCTTACACTCCCTAAACCCTGGGTTTGGAGTACCATACTTGAATACCTTTTTTGGTATTTGTTCCTTAAAGGAACAGCTATGAAAGAAGTCTATACTTGTTTCTTTCTGGTTATTTACTTCGAAGTTCCTAAACTGCACGAAGCACCCGAACCTAAAGCTGAGCTTCACAGGTGTTGGTTGCAACGCCGGGTCGACTTCAAGACTTCATGGGCTCGGGAGAGGCAGAGACCAACCCTGCGGCTACACTTACTTCAAAAGGTAGGCTTTCTAACCGTATACTAGGATGCCTAGTAGTGCCCTTACTCCCTTTTTGTGGTCCTAGGTTCCTTCTACAGCTACCCAATGCCAAAAAGGGAGCCCTTTTTATTCCTAGGCTACTGTGCATCCTGGTATATATCCCAACCTACCATTTAGGTAACTTAGGGGTACTTAGAAATAGTTTTTGGTTACTATAATCCCTAAGAAGCAGCTAAAATTGTAATTTTGCTAGGATTCTAAGTTCAGTATAGGTAACTGGAGCCCTAGAGGTTCAAGTCTTTGGGGTGTTGGCCCCTAAGGGCGTTTAGGGATTGAGGGTCCAGGGGTGTAGGGGTGTAGGGTTTACAGCTTGGGGTACCGCTGCGGGTTCATGTATCCATGTAGTTTCTACCATGGCCCGAATTAGTGGAGTCGCGGAGTAATTGACAAAGTACATGCTGTAGGAGGACCCTTATACGATTTAGGGTTGGGGGCACATTACGTGTTTTGTTATTGCAGGACCTCCTAGAGAAATCAAGCGTATCATGAATACTAGTACTGAAGCCGTGGTCTGTATATGTTCAAGCGGAGGGGCCTTTTGGGTTGATTTTCTAGGCTGTCGGGGTGTAGGGTTGTCTTAAAATATATAGGCTCCAGGATGGTGACTGATCCCGTAAAGGATATATCTTTCAGGGGATGAGCAGGAACCTTGCTCCTTTTAGGGTTTATATATCCCTGCCATGGTTGAAAAGGCTAGCATGTGATTTTTTGGGCTAGTGTGCTCAGCCCCGAACCCCTACACCCCAAGACCCTAAACCCCTAAACCCTACACATCTAAACCCTCAATCCTGTCCCCTACACCGAAAATCCCATCAAAAGCTGCATCCCCAACCAACCCTGCAACGCCAACCCCATTCAAGCCTGGACCCGATAACCTGAGCCTTGATCCCGACAAACTAGACCTTGTAAGCCCCAAGAGTATGTAGAAAGGTAGACCTAGTAGGTATTGCATGGACCATTATTTTACATGCTTCGTCGGTTTTAGGTAAGATTCTTTGCGCCCTGCAAGCTCTGTGAAACTTCATACCCTGAGCCCAAACCCTATCAAACCCCACAAGTTGGCCCTAAACCCTAAGCCCTAAACCCTAAACCCTAAGCCCTAAACCCTAAGCCCTAAACCCTAAACCCTAAACCCTAAACCCTAAACCCTAAACCCAAACCCTACAGGCCCTAAGCAAGCCCTACACCCTAATCCCCATAAGGGGGTTTCCGAAAATTAGGGTACCTTACTTAGGGGTACTTATAATAAGGATCCTACTATTTAGGGTACAAAAGTAGGGTCCCCTATTTTCGGAAACTCCCATAAGCCCTATGCCCTGAATCAGGTCTCTTTGGGTCAAGTCCAGCTACTGGTCTTGGATGAGGCACCCGGGTGGGGCCTTGGGGTTCCTTTGAAAACCCCTCCTTTGAGGGTTTAGGGGTTTAGGGTTTATGGAGTTGAGAGGGGGGGGTGGGGTAGAATAGAGGGGTTTAGGGTTTAGGGGTTTAGGGTTTAGCGTTTCGGGGCTTACAGGGTTTAGGGTTTTAGGGGTTTAGGGCGCTTTAGGGGTTTAGGGGGCCGGGTGTGGTTGAGTGGCTTGTAGCTGTAGCTCAGGGTCTCTACATATCGGGCTTCGGGGCTTCAGGGTTCAGGGTTTTGCGAGCTAGTCTACTATTTGCTTAAGAACCACCCCCAAAAAATATATTCCTTATAGGGATAATATAGGGATTATATTTTTTATTTTTTGGGGGTTCTTAAGCAAATAGTAGTAGTCAAGTAGCTAGGTAGGCCTTTGGGACAGTTTATAAAGGGCCAACCTAGGTAGGCTGAAGGAGTTGTAAGACTTCACTCATAGACTCATAGCTTCCCAAGATAATTATGGCATAGCATGCCCCAGAACCTCATTTTGGTTGCCCAGGCCCCTATATTATTGGTACTGTTTTAAGGGTGCTCTAAACCCTAAACCCCCAAACCCTAAACCCTGCCGTACTATTTTGACCTGAAAGGGTTTGAAGCTTAGAGAACTACCCAGTTACAAGCCGGGACACCGGCCTGAGTCGAGATACCTCGCGCCTTCGGAGTTTTCAATGGGCGCCTTCATCATGTCAACAAGACTTCACAATGGGAAGGAACCCTTGTGAATGTTGGTACTTGTGTACCTGATTTATCCGATGCCTACCTCCGCGCAGAGGGCGTTTGCGATCAGCTTCCGGCGTATATAATTGTGCAGAAGGCCCGCCTGCAGCATGACTATCCCCCGAGGGTCTAAGTCCATGTGCTCATATGGGTGGTTGTCAAAATTCTGGCCCCTTTTTGGGTCCCCATTATAATACGGCAACTATTATTTAGGGTACCCAAAAAGGGACCTTAATTTTGACAACTACCAATATGGTATATAAGTATACGTATTTCGGCCTTGAGGTACTCTGCGGAAATGTAGTTTTAGGGCGAAGGTATAAACTACATGGGGTCCATGTATTTCTATGGTATGTAAATTGTCCACGATTTACCTTTATAGGACCAGAAAACCCTCTGCGGCAAACGTGTATACGACATGGGTGCGAGGACCCGTAGGCCGTATTTCCAAGTCTTCGTTTTTTCAGGTTTAGGGTTCATCGCACTGCCTACAGGTTTTTTCGTCTTCAACAGGAAACCCAACGCCCCACTCCTCATGCTCGACCCTGCAGCCTCTGCTGTTGTGAGGCGGATAGGATGCTAGACATGGGCTTTGAGCCAGAGATTGCCAAGATCTTGGCAGAGGCCGCCAAAGCTTTGCAATCTCAAGGTGGATTAGGGGTCGGAACAATTACCATACCAATGTTTTTCCTTACGGCTGCATATGCGTGTGTGTCATATATTCACATAAGCAAATACCTACATATGTAGGTGTATATACAAGTATAAATATAAAAAAAAATAAATAAATAAATACAATATATATATATATATATATATGCATTTTCTAAGACAGATAGACAGATAGATGGATGATAGATGAACAGATGGATCGGTATAGATCATCGCACAGATAGATAGATAGGTCGACAGATGCAGCTGTTCCCAGAAAGCCAGAAGCGCTACCTGCCCAGACCCCCGGGAGGATCCAAAAAGTAGATCCCTTAATGACTTAATGGGGGTTCCTATAAAGTACCCTCAGTAGTAGAGGGCCCCAAATTATTAGGGGATCTACTTTCTAGATCCTCCCGGGGGTCTGGGTGTAAAGCAGCCGAGCCCCGAAACTTCGAAAGGCAGTTTAACTCGGTTTTAGGGTTTACCTTAAGGCTCCTGGACCCTTGTAGTGAGATCCGGGACCCTGGCCCCCAAATCCGAGACCCTCCCGCAGAAAGGCCGGGAGCTCCTTGAGGAGCCCCAAGGTAGGGTTTCGATCCGTGATGGTTAAAGGGAACTCCAGAAAGTTGGAATATGGTTTCAGGGTAGGATACCTTATAATTTACCATAAAGGGTTTAGGATAATCATATTCCAACTTTCTGGCTTTTACTTTATGCCGTATGCCCTAAAGGTCTACGTGCCCAAAGAGGATATGACTTTGGCCTAAAGTGCCTAGATAGGGAGTACTTTGCGGCGAATGTATACTATATTTGGGTACCTGGACCCTTATACCCTACAGCCTTATAGTAACGGTTCCCCTCAAAGGAATCCTTAAAGGATCGAAGCGTGCCAGCCGCAGTGGGGTGTGCCAGTTCAACTACAGCGAAAGCGTTGGTTAAGAATTTGCTGGGATCTGTTCAGGGGGGGCTCAGATTCTTAAGTCTGCTTGTCTGTGACATTCATGTCTTTCAGCCGCCTCGCAGCCTCGAGGGAGGCTCAGATTCTTAGTACATTCTTAGCTGAGGGCTTGAACCAAGTACCACAGCCACTGAAGAGCTCGATATACCACTGCTCCAAACAACAGTCTTCAGAACATAGGTGTCTCTGCAATGTCCGATGGTGAAGCGATGGAGCTTGTGTCCGTGGCGTCCGACGAAGGTGTCGAGACCGGTCCTTCGAAGAAGGAACAGGTCTCCCTGCACCGATACGGTCGTTGCACCTTCACTACGACATTTGGAGGTTTCCACGCCGGGACCTGCTTGTGTACAGATGTAGGGGCTAAGAATCTGAGGGCTCAGATTCTTAATTTGGAGGTTTCCATGTGTACAGGTGCAGGGGCTAAGAATCTGAGGGCTCAGATTCTTAATTTGGAGGTTTCCACGCCGGGACCTGCTTGTGCACAGGTGCAGGGGCTAAGAATCTGAGGGCTCAGATTCTTAATTTGGAGGTTTCCATGTGTACAGGTGCAGGGGCCAAGAATCTGAGGGCTCAGATTCTTAATTTGGAGGTTTCCACGCCGGGACCTGCTTGTGTACAGGTGTAGCGGCTAAGAATCTGAGGGCTCAGATTCTTAATTTGGAGGTTTCCATGTGCACAGGTGCAGGGGCTAAGAATCTGAGGGCTCAGATTCTTAATTTGGAGGTTTCCAACACCAGGACCTGCTTGTGTACAGGTGTAGGGGCTAAGAATCTGAGGGCTCAGATTCTTAATGTGTACAGGTGCAGGGGCTAAGAATCTGAGGGCTCAGATTCTTAATTTGGAGGTTTCCATGCCGGGACCTGCTTTTGTACAGGTGTAGGGGCTAAGAATCTGACGGCTCAGATTCTCAATTTGGAGGTTTCCATGTGTACAGGTGCAGGGGCTAAGAATCTGAGGGCTCAGATTCTTAATTTGGAGGCTCCCAACACCAGGACCTGCTTGTGCACAACCCTAGGAGTTAAGAATCTGGGTCCAGATTTCAGGGGGGGCTCAAATTCTTAAGTCAAAGGCACACCGCCCATGGGTGAATTATCACTATGTGCGTCGAAATTCAGCCCCTCATTTTCTTAAGCAATGAATTCTTAAGCAATACTTCCGCTGTACGTAGTTCCAGCTCGATTGTGCTGTCAGGTGTTCTGTACACCAACAACCAGCTAGAACCGAGTGCTCCTGAGAGGTGCAGAGGTCGTTATTCGAGAGTTCATGAACCTGCAGCATAGCCAGTGCTGTCTAGTTTGCCAGGTGCAGCGAGCCAACACATCGTGGCATGTCTGCTTAAATGCTAGTTACAGAACCGGTTCTCAAACTTGGTGGAATTTGATACGCCCTTGCAGACCCTTGTAAAACAAAAACCTTGTAGTAAGAATCCTTTCAAAACCCTTGCGAAGGCCGTAGACAAGCTAACCTCGACCATCGCAAGAGTTTTGTCGAGCCCGTACGCACGTTTATGAACTACCATCAAGCCTTGACTTCTACATGCTACAATTTCAGTACTTATATAAATACATATATATATATATATATATATATATACATATTCTCAGATAGAAAAGCCCTGAAGGAACCCCTGAAACCAGAAGCCAGGAACCTCCGAAACCCTTTCTGATTCCCTTTCAGCTCCCTTGTCAGACCTTTGTAACAGCCCTGCAACCACAGGCTCCTCCTGAGCGACAAACACTGCTTTTCACGGCGACGTGGCCCAAGGCAGTCTTTCTGCAGGTCCACAAAAGTTCGACAGACCTGATTTACCCTGAGAGCCCAACACCCTCAATGAGTAATGAGACATTGGCATACAACGGGCGTAGTCAAGTAGGTGCATCTTGTAATAATTCCCAGGCGCGGTCCAACTTCCTGTTTTGTTGCTATCGAACTAGCAGTGACCTTCCGTCGTTGTCGTCAGTCTTGGCCATTGTGTCGCACTACACCCCGGAGTTTGGTGTTTGGGCAGGAATTTTAAACCAGAAACCTAAAACCCTAATCCCCAAGCCCCAAACCCTATAAACCTAGAAACCATAAACCCTAAGCTTCTCTAAAGGCCTAGTCCCCAAGCCCCAACTAATTGAGCTCCGATCCTTTGAGCATGGGAGCTGCCCTGATGTCCTGCCGGGTTGCAGGCTGTCCGGCGCATTGCGGAGAAGCCGCTGGGGCCCGCAAATATATGCATCACCAGCCCCAATAGGGTCCCAAGTATTTATAAATCGTATAGACTGTAGTTTCTCATAGGGGCCACAAAAGGGTTTTAGCCTATGGGGGTTTAGTAGGGATTTGGGTTCCCATAATGGGGTTAATATTAAGGAATCCCTACCCCAGGAATCTTAAAACCCCCTTCGGCCTCCCATCCGTTTCTGCATTGGGAATTGCTATGATGATTCCTCCATAGCAGTACCCACTACCTTTTGGGACCCCTCAGAGTAAAGCAGGGGTCCGCCCGCGGGTTTATTAGAAGAACCTACGATAGAGCGCTCAGGAGCAAGACTGTTCTTTGTTGATACAGATCCCAGGATTCTCTGTAGTATATGATCCTGTAAGAAGTCCGAGGGTGATTACACCGGCTTACACATACTCCGAGATACCCCGGCCCCCAAACTGTATTCAAAGTATTAAGGCCACTATAACATATAGAGCACTGAAAGTAACCTGTGAAAAGCCTGAACAGTGTAACTCAATTCTAAGTGTCACGGCCCTTTCCTGCGGGACACTTCTCATGTTGCATACTTGCAAGAGCAGGCAGGTGAAGATTGAAGTCAGGCGGTGGTTTAGGGCTTTACGGATGGAATGTAACCAGAAGTAAGGGTAGAAGCAGAAGAAAGATCTTGCTGACTGCAACAGCATTTCCTAAACCGCTCCCTTAACTTCAGTCTCGTGAGCCAAGGTGATGTTGTCTCCTATTAGCCTATTAGCCTACCCAAAGGCCCAAAAGTGGTTCCTTTTGGGGGTTCATATATAGAATCCTACAAATGAACCCCAAAAAGGAACCACTTTGGGGCCTGTGGGTAAACCCTAAACCCCTAAACCAGGTACTTGAAGCCGGACTACTTGCTGCTTGTCTTTGATGTGTTCAGCTTCCCGGGCGGTTTGTACGATTCAGAGCTTTAAGGGGTTTAGGGTTTATGGGTTTAGGGTTTAGGGTTTTTTTTGGGATTGGGGGTTCAGAAATCCGAAACTCTAGAAGTATATGAATCCGTATCCTTTGAAGCCCTTCGCCCCTTCGGCGAGGGTTTGCCGAGGCACTTGAATGTGGGTGACACGGAGGATTTGGCAGCAAACAAGGCTGTGAGTCAGGAGTTCTTCAAGCTTGGGGACGACGAGAAGGACTGGGTTTAGGAGTTTAGGGATCAGGGGTTTGGGAGTTTAGGGTAGGATTAGCATCAGGATTGGGCCTTCAGGGTTTAAGCTGTCGCAGAGGGGATCGGAGGTTTGAGGTTAGGGGCTTCCGATGACTTCTTGGCTGTATGCGTCACTCGATTTGGGGTTCAGGGTTTAGGGACACGCTGAACCCCGAGTTCTGAGTCCAAGAAGCGAAAACCCAAGCCCCTAAAGCCTTAAATCCAACTGACTCTGCACCTAACCCAACGGGTCCAAGTATCTTTATGGTATATACTTAGACCCCCCCAAAATACCCTATGAGTATGAATGATACTTGGACCCTTTGGGTAAGTCTCTTCAGCCGAGTGCCAGGACGACAAGCTTTGGCAGATCCTGTCCGGGCTTTCGGATGATGCCAAAGTCATCTGCTTCGCAAACACCAAAAGGCCTTCGGCTCTAGAGGGGATTGGGGGCTTGGGACTTGGGGTTCTGGGTTTGGGGGTTTAGGGGTTTAGGGCTGGGGGGTTTAGGGCTTAGGGGTTCAGAGTTTAAGGTTTTAGGGTGTTGAATTTGGAAATTAGGCCTTCGGATCTAGGGTCGTAAGCTGAGGCTCATGGAATTGGGGTATCATGTTGATGGTTGAGGGCTTTACCCTTGAAGGAGCCCTTCGCTTTAGCCTCCTTTCGAACCCTACCCAGAGGCTCCATAGTAGTTCCTTTTTGGGATTACCTTAGAGGATTCTAAGTACGAGCCCCAAAAAGGAACTACTACGGAGCCTATGGGTATACACTGCCCATGAAACCCGACCGACTACTTGTAAGTTCCCATAAACGCCCATAAAACTCCAGACACCCGAAGAACGCAGTTAAAGCTCAGGGAGAAGAGGTTGCAAGTACCATGCTGCTTTCGATTTTTGTCTAACACCGGAACAGGAGCTTCTCGGCCATGGTTTGAGTGGAAGCGCTGTTCGGCTGACCCATGTTTAAAGCTAGGCTCTGAGTCTCAGAACATACTAACGGAAAACGGCACTAAAGTAAACGAGGATCTAGGCATTGCAGTGTCTTTCTTCAACTTGAAGTCCGTCAATAGCTTTTGTAGATCAAGTGGAGCACTCAAGCCCTGTTTCAAGTTATATAAGGAATCATAACAGGGAGCCCTAAAACAGGAAGGTTTTACAGGGTCCAGGTAGTGTAATGAATGCGCTATGATAAACCCTAAACCCGAAACCCTATAAACCCAAAAATTTACTGCAGCCGAATCGATCCCTTTCAGAAGACCCTAAACCCTAAATCTTTCCTTATCCTAAACCATAAACATTCCTTGTCCTAAACCTTACACCCTAAGCCATAAACCGTAACCCTAAACCCCCAGGACCCCTAAACCCTAAACTCCTAAAACCAGAGGCGAATCGACTCCTTTCAGAAGACTTTCTGGGGCAAAGGCTTCGACTCCGTCGCGCTGCACGGGGACAAGCCCCAGACTCCTCGCTGCGCGAAGATCGAAGGGCTCCGATAGGGTTTATATAGTGCTTTTAGGGTTTAGGGTTAGGGGGTTCAGGGTTCAGGGTTGTAGGGTTTAGGGTTAGGGGGTTTAGGGTTCACGTTCACGGTTTAGGGTTGTTAAGGGTTGTTTAGGGGTTTGGGGTTCAGAGTTTAGGGTTTATGGTGGGATGAAGGTAGGTGGGGTAACACTAAAACAAAAGTCCTTATGGAAGGGACCCATAGTCCTACGGTTGATGACCGTACCTACCTTCATCTCACCTTTTCGGGCCTCCCACATGATGGGGGTTTTGTTGCTTTTGCAAGCTGCTTTCGTTTGTAACTAGGAAAGGTTTCTGTGAGGACTTCGAATTGCTTATTCGTAAGCCAGGTATTTGTGCGTGTGTGTGTGTGTGTGTACAAATACATAAATGACTGCATGAATAAACGAACCAGTAGATACAGAAACACACAGGAATATATATATATATATATATATATATATACATATCATATATATGTGATATGCACGCATGCTGGTGTACTTGTTCATACTACTCTTGCCCCACTTCCAACCATTCCTGAATCTTCAGGTAGGATCTGAGGGCTGTTCAACCCCAGGGCCTCTCGCGAGATTCCCTCTCTCTAGCGCCGGGGTTTCAGTGATTTCGGACTCGACTCTGCGCACGGGCAGGAAGTCGCGAACTGGATAAACACTGTTTTAGGGTTTAGGGTTTAGGGAAACACTGTCCGTAGCCCCCAAAAAAGCTGTATTTTTGGATGCCTGATATGAGGAAGTGATATAGTAAGGGACCCTATAAATTTAGGTTCCTCGGGGTCCAGGTGAATTCAGAATCTTGACACAGTATGTAAACTCTGAAGTCTCAAGATTTCCCAGGAAGGACCGCGACAGGGACCTCGAGAAGTTCACAAAGGGCGAGTGCTGGCTTATGTTCGCCACGGATGTGCCCCGAACCATCCAGCTATACAATCTGGAATTAGAGGTTGTTTGCGAGGTTACCTCGCAGGAACCCATAGGGTCGTGGGTACTGTTATGGGGGATACTTTCCCAAACCATAATTCTAATTCTTGATATAGGTACTTTGGACCCTTTGGGCAAAGTATTACTCTGTGATGCTGCGCACATAATACATATATGATCAGCATGTATATATACATATATATATGTATATATATATATATATATCTGACCTACTATTTATGGAACTGTAGCCCTAGGTTCGCATTCTTGACAAGTGTTGCGTCGGGCGTGTGAATCCTTTCACAGCGAAGACCATGTCATAGGCTTGGTGCGCTGCTTGTGTCTTTCGCAGTGTCACATCTGGATGCACACTATAGTTTACTTAAGAATCAGTTTCGTTTCTGTGTATATTCAAAGTTGCTCAGGGGGCTACAGATCAACCCCTAAGATTGACCACCAAAAGCCAGATCCCCAGAAAGCAGCACCCTTCATAAACAAAACCAGTGGTTCTGAAACTTGAACTTGTCGCCGAACATAGCTCCATAAATTCATAAAGTACATAGAGGTATGAGTGGATAGTTCCATGGCAGGCCTCACTTCAATGTCCATAAATAGCCATAAACTCATGTTCAGGGGTTAAGATGTAGAGTTTAGCTTTAATGTTCATTCATAAATTTGTCGACATCTCGCCTGCATTTCCCGCTCCCCACCTTCCCCGCCCCCACTTTCAACTTTGCTTGCAGACCAACAACTGAAGACAGCTCCTCATGAGCTCGCTCCTGTTAATTCTGAAATCCAATCTCGTAGCCCTGAAACGTAAATTCTGCTAAACCCCGGGCTTAAGGAGACTTAATTATAAGCTAAAAGCCCGCTGACGACCTCGAAGTCAGCTCTTCAAATCTCGAAATCCTGAACCCTCAGTGTTCATGACGGGTGTATGAGCGGGATGAAGGTGTATGCTGTTGGAAGGGTCTGTCGAGCAATGGAATTGCACAGGGTAGAGCCAAGTGGGTCTGGACTTGACGGTATGGCAGTGTTGATTTGTTCCTTATTGGGAGGAATTGTGCAGTTCCGTTGTGGTTGCTACATGTAGGGAGTGAAGGGCCTCGGATTTGATGAGAAATCATGATGTATTTGTTCGTGCCCTTCCTCCCGAACCACCCCTCAGCCAAACCTGGCATTGGAAAACCCTAACTAACCAGGCAGAGCAAAATCGTGCTCAAATCAAATCCCAAACCCTGAACCTGAAATCCTGTTGGATGGAAGGTGTGCGCCCGCGGGCTGGATATCAAGGGGGTCACGCATGTGGTGAATTTGGACATGGTCCTCCTGGCAAGTGCTGGGTTGTGTCGGGTGTGTTTGGAGGAGAACTCACCGTTGCGCAGGAGGTTAAGAGACGTTTTGGTTGTAGTTCTACAATGTCTTTTCATCAAGAATATTGCAATCTTTATGGGAATGAGAAATTTATTTTTTTGATGTAGGACCAGGAGCAGACAGATCGCTGTTCTTTGCATGGCTCTATCCTGGTGGGACTGGTGTCTAGTTAGGGATTGGGGAAGATCGAGTCCATCAAACTTATCCTATAGTCTGAGAAGCGGGTTCCCTGCGCAAGGCCAGGGACGTCGAAAGTTATGCCGCGTGCCCAGGTGTTGTGTCTTGGAAGTTGTTCGACCTGCAGTTCATGATAGCGTCGCCCAGCACAAGACAAAGCCCTCGTTAAGGACCTCAACATGGGTTTGGGATCCTTAGATGGTATTAGGCGATGTATTTTGACGTTTTGGTTACTTCTATTCCTGTCCTTGCTGTTACCATGGTTCTAAGGATAGCAAAGGCTGTGGATGTTGCTCTAGAGGGTAGCTTGAAATTTCGGCAATCGAACATGTTGGAGGTCTCAGTTCCTTTTTTTTGTCCGGCTTAGTCCTGTCGAAAGCCCAGCACGGAATTGCTTTTGTGTTGTCGGATACCTAAAGGGTCCAAGTATCATTATGGATATACTTATAGGGTATTTTGGGGTGTCTAAGTGCATACCATAGTGATACTTGGACCCTTTGGGATAAGGATCCCTGGTTCGGAGCTCTACAAACCGAAAATCCTAAAACCCCGCACGCGCGGAAATCTCTTGAACACTAACCTAAGGGTCCAAGAAGTCCTTATTTATGGTTTTTGGCACCTAAAAAGGCCCTCAAGTCCTATAGTAGGGAGTACTTGGACCGTCTGGGTAATATTCTGGACCAAACAGTTGAATTCCTAAGTCCTAAACCCTAAACCCTAAACCTGTAAATCCTCAACGACAAGCCTTTGAATCCTCAGCCCCAAGATCGATCCGGGAGTGCAGGGTCTGGATTACATCATTCTAAAGCCTAGAAAGCTTAGGCCCAGTTCTTCCAGGAAACAAGAGCCTTGACCCCCCAATAACCCAGAACTTTAGAGCTTAAAGCCTAATCCCAAATGCTAGACCCTGACTGCTCGTCTCCGGGAGATCATTTGCAACCCTGTAGTTTTCCTGACACTTGAAAGGAACCCTAAGGGTCCAAGTACCTTATTATCATATACTCTCCAAAATCCCAACCAACATAACTACTATCCTAAAACCGAGTACCTCACTATTAAGGCCCATATAATGGAACCCTTATAGTATCCCTTATAGTAGCCCTTATAGACCCCTGTGAAGGAACCCTAAACCCTATCGGGTCCTTTGGACCCTTGGGGGAACAGCCTCAACCCGAAAGCTGAAGCTTCAGCCTGCTTGGTGCTACCCTAAGGCCCCAAAGTAGTTCCTTTTTGGGGTTCATACTTAGAAGGGGTTTAGGGTTTAGAGTTTAGGGTTACTTGGAATCCCATATATGGTAATCCCAACAAGGAACTACTTTGGGGCCTATGGGTAGTTGGGGTGTGGGATAAGTCCTTCGTCATGCGCACAAAAATCCTAAACCTTAAACCCTAAACGCGATCATACTCCCCCGACAAGCTCAAACCTCATAGATCATGTCAAAGATCCCTTAAAGGAGCCTCCTGAAGGGATCCGTGAGCCTTAAACCCCTATGCAATCCTTCGGGTTGGTTGGCCTTTTTGGCTCGAGCTCTGCGCAACTTGGTTCGCAGAATCCGCTTTGGTTTTTCGTGCCCCAGGACCGATTTTCCGATCCCACGTGCTCACGTAAGCTCCTATAAGGGCTCCTTTAAAGGATTATAAACCTCAACACCTAAGGGTCCATGTGATTACCCAACTAGTACATACTCTGGCCTATTGTGATCCTAATAGGCAGTTTGGGGACAAAGTGCAAGATCTGGGTGCTTCACAAGATTGGAGTAGGGTCTTGGGGTTTATTCTACGATAATCATAGTGGGATGGGGACTATCAGGGTTAGTCTAAGTTAAAAGTATCAGGTAGCGCCTATTGTCGTCGCGTTCGACTTTCAGAGTTTAGCCTTCGACTTTCAGAGTTTAGGGTCTTGGGGGGGTGTAGAGTGTAGAGTTTAGGTTCAGCGTTTTGCGTTTAGGGTGTAAACACGCAAGCCCTAGGCTTTTTGCCCACCCAAAGTTTTGGTCTGCAGCGACCTTTGGGAAAAAGACGTGTTGCGAGACACCCGTCTCGCTGTCAGAAGGCACGGCTCGGGTGCAAGTAACCTTGAACCTCTCAGGGGACTGAATGTGTGTGTGTGTGACTATTATATACATACACACACTATATGATGCACTTCATACATGTTACGCCTGGAGCCTTGAACCCCCACCCCCCCACCACCCCCCCGCCCCCCGCCCCCCCCGAATAGGAGGGCAGTCGCTTGGCAGGAGATGGCACCCGCTAGCAGCGTTGATTCCTGGACCAACGACATGCAGGGCGACAGAGGCCTCCGGGCTTAGGGTTCAGGCTCCTTTAGGTACTGTTAAGGGGGATACTCCCCCAAATCATAATCGTAATTCCTTGCAGGAGTGGCGGCTTTGGGGCTACGGGTGGTGCTCTTGCTTGCGGGTTTAGGCCTTGCAACGTCTTGAGAGGTGCAGAGGAGAATCTAGACTAGAGAGTGCAGCCTCGTGGTCGATGTTGTGCTAAATGGCGATTTTGAATCAGCCGGCGTGGTCTTTATGAGCACCCTGCAATGCCCGACGCGACGTAGACAAATGGAGGTCCAATGGTATGAAGAAGAATAGCGCCGATAGCAATCCTGATTCCACTGACTACTAGCACTGGAACCAGCCATAGCTGCAGCAACATCATGTTTCTCTTCGCGACAGCAGCAGCAGCAGCAGCAGCAGCAATGATCACCAAGTTTTTTTGGTGCACGGTCGTGAGTTTAATTGACTCACTGGCGCTTTCGTTCATCTTTCATTAAACATGGTTCATTCAGTCAATATTCCCTTCCTTCGTTGATCTTTTTGTCTGTTCGTTCATTCATTCGTTGAGAGTCCGTTCATGCAGTTCAACCCTTCCTTCGTTAGTTCGTTCTTTGCTCATTCGTTCGTTCAGTCAGGCAGGCAGGCAGTCATTCACTCAATTAGACGGGTCAGTCTGTGTTTTTCTAACTTCAAGTCTTTGATGAACCAGCATGCCGACTGTTGAGACGGAGCAGGAGAATATTGTCTGCAATGACAGTAGTTTCGGGAATGCTTATCATGTGCCGTGCCATGTAGTGACTAGTGCCACCCTGGCCCCAATATTTTACAAACAACGCCAATAACATGTTCCCACCCTAAGGCCCAAAAGTAGCTCTTTTTTGGGGTTCATACTTAGAATCCTATAAGGTAATCCCAAAAAGGAACTACTTTGGGGCCTATGGGTAAACCCTAAACCAAGACAAGCTTTTGCGTGGCCCAGAGGGGCGAGAGCCCGCAAGGACAGCTCATCTTTTCCGGTGCTGGATACGCAAATACCATCGAAATCCAGCTTGATGCAGCCCCACGGCTTCTCTCTAGAGCCTGCGCAACACAGCCGTATTGTAGTTGAGTTGTAGTTGAAGCATCCATGAAGATCAGCTTCCGGTGTGCTCCAGCTGGGGACCCTTCGGTTTTTTTATTCCAGCTCTTGCTTCATCAACAGTATTTCCTGACATTTGGTTTATGGTATACCCAGGTGCAACTGGATTCAAATCTGGCAGCATTTTTTGTTGTGCGAATCCATTACAAGCAACCCCAAACCCTCAACCTTATCCCAAAACCCTCAACCTTTCACCTCAAATCCAGAACCCCTTCAATTCCTGTATTGGTCCGTTTAGGACGAACCCTTTTGAGCAAGCCCTATAGCAACCCGTTGCAGTAACCCTTCCGTTACGCCCCGTGTTTCTTGCTCGGCGCTGCAGAACCGTCAGCTGTGAGCAGTAGACATGGTTTAGGGTTCAGTCCTTGTGCTTGTTCATGGTCATGTACGTCCTAAACCTCGAAAGCCTGTTGCCATGTGTCGGTTTCCTTGGTTTTTTTGGGTTCCTTCAGCGTTGCCTATGGCAGGGTTGGAAGTACAGGGGATTAGTAGGTTTGTATGGGAGTTTTAGGGTGTAGGCGCTAAGGTCCAGGACAACGAGCCCCAGAAGTCATGAAGCCCTATACCGCACACCCCAAACCCCCCAGATCCTGAACTTTCAACCCTGGGCCCTAAACGCTAGGCCCTAAACCCTAAGCCCTTGGTGTTCTGAATACCCGAAACGGGGGTCATCCCACATGAAACTTCAGCACTCATCGCCGGTCTCCTGGTTAGGGGGGTTTAGGGTTTTAGGGATTTAGGGGTTTAGGGTTTAGGCCAGGGGTTTAGGGGTGAGAAAAGTGCCCGGAACCTTGAAGTAGAGTGTAACAGAGTGTAAGACGCTGCTGTGACTATTCACAACTTTGGCATCGACGTGTTCCGAAGCCACCTTGACTCGTAAAGCACCCGCTAGCCGAAAAAACGGTCGTTTTGTAACCTGCAGCTCAAAGTAGCCCACGAACCTTATAGAGTATGGGTCTTTTTGGGCCCCAAAGCCTTAAATGTGAGTCCTTATAGAGCTTTACGGTAACCATCAGAGGAGCTGCACGCCTCTTTCTGCCGTCGCGGCCGCCGCCGACTAAGGGAGATCCAGACGCTGGGCGTAAGAGGGTTCAGGGTTTAGGGTTTAGGGTCTAGGGTTTAGGGTTTAGGGTTTAGGGTTTGGGGTTTGGGGTTTGGGGGTTCGGTTTAAGGTAAAAGCCGAAAAGTTGGAATATGATTATCCTAACCCTTCTATGGTAAATTATAAGGTATCCTACCATGAAACCATATTCCAACTTTCTGGAGTTCCCTGTAAGGTTTGGGGTATAGGATTGAAGGAGGCCTGGGGTCAAAATACAGGCATTTGGCTGTGGGGTTTAACTTCGAAGTTTGAGGATTAAAGGGTGTAACCTCTGGGTAATGAGGGGGCTTTCGACTGTGGAAGCGTCGGCACAGTATTCGAATTCCCGCCCCCCCCCCCCTCCCTCCGTCAGCACCGGCGACGCAGAAATTGATCCGATCCAGAAGCAAAATCACCAAGCTAATAACGAACATGGGGGGCCTGAAGAAACAATCGCGTCTTTTGCAGAAACCCTCAGTACTACCCTAAACCCTAAACCCTAAACCCATAACCCTAAACCCTAAACCCATAAGGCCCTAAACCCAAGGATCCAAAACCCGAAATACTACCCTACTCTAATTGTCGATGAGGCTTTCTGAACCTGAAGGATTTCTTCCAGACAGGTTTGTGAACTTGGTGACTTTGATGCTTCAGCTTTCAAGTTA